ACCTTTGATAATTTTGTCGTTCCTACTCTGGCATGCATAATTGCTACTCTTCAGTTGCTCCTGCGTGCTCTGGGTGGAGCTAAGATATTAACGCGATAGTTTACTAACCTCACTCTAAAAAGAGGCTAAAAATTCCAAGATAGTATTTTTCGTCCAACTCTACTGCAGACGTGGTACTCTAAGACACTCACTGCTCTCTCTCTCTCTCATCGTGTTTTTCTTATCCCGTCACAGCAAGAATTAGTCAAGTAACTGCCCGGAAACGGCTAGTGGAATTCAGCAAGACCCCCAGTTCAGCATTGAGCATAGACGCCTTCTTTTCCGTGGACTATGACGAGGAACAGGATCCACCGGCTTTCGGTCGACCATCCCAAACCAAGCGCATCGTAAGTAGCCGTCTACTGCTCCCATTCTTCTCATTGATACCGTTCATATGCTCAGTAAAGCACTGTTAGAACATACCAACGCTTTCCTCTCACATACAGATGAAATTATTACTTGCTTTTTAACATTTTTATCTACGATCAGCAGAATGCGTGTGCGTGAAATTCACTGTTGAAATGTGCATATGTGTATATGTTACTCACTAATTAATAGTAACACATTTTATGTATTTTATGTGGACTGTATTTGCATACAGTTTTCAATAGTCTTCAAAGGCATTGTCTACTGCCCTAAATGTGCTAAGCTATACCGAACTATCTCTCTAAAGTCGTCATTGTTCGCCTCCGCCTCTTGTTCCGTTTTTCGTCCTTGTAGGTCGTTGACGATCTGGACATGAGTCAGGTATCCCTGGAGATACAGGAGCTGAGTCGTCGAATAGATGAAGATCTGGAGAAGGTTGCCCAAAAGGGGAAAATGCATTTAGATCCCTCAAAACTGGGTGAGTTTAGTCCACTCCCCTTCCCGTTTCTCTGTTTAACTTGTGCTCCTGATGTAGACATCTGGCAGTGCAACTTGTTGCATAAAACAGAGACGTAGGGAGTATTTCTAAGTAGACAGCCGATTGATTAGTAAATCTCAGCGGATCTGTTTTGAAGCGAGTCCTCACTAAGACTTCTCTCTGCCCCATATAGTGTTTTTGGAGCTCAGAGTCTTTTGGCCCACCAGGTGGCCCTTCCTCAGACCCTTCCCTCTCACCGCCCTTTTTTTCTGATATCGATGCTGACTGCGTATGCCTCCTTTTGCAGAATTGGCTAAATCAAAGGGTATCCATCACCTTATTGCAAATAAAGACAGTGAAGGAAAGACCCTGGACAATGAGAAGAACGGTGTCTCACAGGGAGGCCCCCGAAAGGAACTCAAAACCTCACAAGATGTGCTTCGAGACGTCCTGGATGGTATCGTTGAACCAGAAATCCTCGACTCCTGCGTCGAGGACCTGCAAATGCTGACACAACACTCCGGTGATCGTCTGTGCCAGCTGGTGCAAGTTTCCACCAACAGTCGCGATGCCAACGACACCAAGCTTGCGGATCTCAAAGACTTTCAGTCTGCAAACGCCCTCAACTCCTCAGAAGGTTTTTTATCTATTTTACTTGAGGCTCTGTTTGTCCTTGCACACCTTAACTTGGTTTGCGTTCACTCGACTGTTAAAGTAACTGCGCTTCTAAGTTGCTCCAACACGAACCCGTTTACGCAGTCCTTACTTTAAAATCCTACGGTAGATTAGATAGTTTGACGACCAGAACAAGGCTAGTTCTGATGATGGAGGTCGGCGACTTTTAAAAAAATGCCAAAAAACAGTAGCATTTGAGGTTTTCGTGTGTGTGCGTGTGTTTTGCTCTCCGCTGGAACTCGCTAGCTCGTCTGCCGTGCCAGGTAGAAACATCCCCTACCTCTGCACCAGGCTATTAATCTGGAAAATTAATCAAGGCTCAACTGATCTAACTGTTTTACTACTTCCTGCGTAACCTAGATCCACCACATGCCTCTTGGTCAGCTGAACTTATTTCCATCAGTTTCCTGCAATACTCATGCGCGTTTCCGTTGCAAAAGCCTGATACTCTAACTATTACGCAGTCCCCTACTATTGTAGCTTAATCTGAAAGAAGCGTATCTGTCTTTAGTTTAATTGGCCGGTTGCCGTCAACTGTCCAGTAAGTTCAACAGGATTTAATTTTAAAATGAATGCCTTGACAGAATACTTTCTGGTCTTACTTTATTTCTGTCTTTGTTCACTTTCAGCTTCGTTGAAATTGCCACATTTCATCTCTCCGTTAGATGAGGGCGCTTCTACGGCAGACATTAAAGGTGGCTTGCTGTTCTCTTTTTTATTGTTTTCCATCAGAAAGTCGTAACTAAGTATATATGCATGCTGTATTATGGTTTGGTCGGCAGCCATTTTTGCATTCCTCCTATGCGCAAAAATTGCGCCACTTAGAACCGCAGTCGAGATCTTCTGAGAGATTTTAACGTTGGCTGCAGAATTGCACGTTAATTGTACAGAGAAGTTTGCTCTCCAGTGTTTGTGTTTGGCTATCTATTAGACGAATAATCCACCTGTTTCGGTTATCTAAGTACTATTATGGAACTTCGCGTGGCAGACGCGCTCTGCGCAGTAAATTAAAAAAAACTTCGAAGGGCATCAAGGGTCTCTCCTGGTTCTGTACAAAGACTGCAAATTCAAGCACGATTTGATCGCCTCTTCAGTGGTTCCCTACATGTTGCAAAAAGGTGCCTACTTGTTAAGGGGTTACTGCCAAGCGGGTCTGTTTTGGCGAATCCCGAGGTCAGACCGATTGGACGCGATTCGAACTAATGCGACTACTAGCATATTTCTCAGTCCACTTTGAACGCATAGTTTTAGGAACACTTACGTTGGGGATTTTTTCGTTTTAGAAGGACACTTCTTACATGGCTTGACTGGGAGTTGCCCGTTGTGTGGCTTTGGGCTAGCATGTAGAAGTACTGTTTTATTTAGTGACAGAAGTTCGGCCGCATCGATTCTTGCGGGGGCCATAGAACGAGTCTACATTCACAAAGGCGAAACCTGCGTAGGATAGGGGTTCAGGAACTGGGTACAACTGGGGTTACCCACTTGATATCTTGCCCTTTGCAGGTTCTTTAAGCTGGCAAGGCGGTAAGGGTAAGAAGAATTGTCTTTTCATATTTGTCATATCGCAGTGCCGTCATTGAGCTCTTTTGGCATCTCATAAGCCTTTTGGTTGCGAAGTTTCAACCCTCCATATCCAGCACCACCACCACTGCCGATACGCGACCGCTTTCTCTGCAGCTGATGTTTCCTGTGGGCTTTTCCCTTATCCGGCAGCTAACTGGGTTCCTTCCTTCCGAGAATCCTGTCGTGCTGAACTACGTTAGTCTTCACTAATTGAATAGGTTGCCTCTAACACTTTGAAGCGATTAAAATCATTGTTACGGTTGTGGCCGCTACAAAATTGCTTAAGGCAACAGTTGCGGAAGTTTTCTTCTTAGAACTTTTCTGCATTTATATAGAAATTTTAGCTATGTGTATTAGTCATGACTACTAAATACGTTAAATGTTGTGTCCAGTTTCTTAGGCTCCGCGCCAAGCTATGGTATAAAATGTCAGTACTTTATCATGGAGAAGTAGCCCACTTCATGCGACTGATTCTGTACTTTCCTGTACCTTTTTCACTTAACCGCAATGTCCTGTTATTCTTTACCCTTTTAGCTGTCGACGTGAAGAGCATTCCTCTCGGGTCCGGGGATGCGAAGGGTAAGGGGGTGTCTGCCCAAGTTGCAGAGGGCTGTTTTGGTGTTATTTTCTAGTTTCCTGTTCATGTTGCTATAGTTTTCCGATTGGCCGATTATTGTACACATACCTGTTCCTTTGCTTTTAAAGTATTTTCTTGGCAGGCCTTTGCTCAAATTCTCCCATTCGTTTAACTGACTAAAGTTTTGTAAGCAGTGACCGCTTTTAGAAGAATTATAATAAACCCTCGGTGGACAGAGGTTATAAACTCGAGTCTGTGTTCTTGATGGGGTCCTCTTACTTCACTGAATCAATCTCCCAGCGTACCTTCTATTAACTCTTTCGGCTGAGGCAATATGACTATCAATTTCGGGTCTTCTGTCTAATCCCCTCTTTTTGTGCAAGTGTTGAGCCCAAGCTATGCCTATGTGGTGTCATTTCGGATGTCGAATTGACATTTCTGTCATGATATCCCAGTTTCCAGGAGTTCCCCGTTTGTAAGGTGCATATCTTTCTTAGGGCGTACAGGACTGTTTTTTGGCCATCGGCTGCAGTATGTTACCGTTGTCTTACGAATTAGTGTCAAATCGATTAAACTTACAAACGGGGCTGGCACCGCCTGTTTTGTACCTTGCTGGGCGCGTTATATCGCTCATTTGCAAGTACGATGTTGGTAATTTAATATTGGGACCTCTTCGACTTCTTCGAAGACTCCCGTCTTATTCACGTTGCATTTCAACATT